AAAAATGTTCAGGCTGCCTTTCAACGGTTTTACCTTCAGATTTTTGTACCATGAATACACCTTGGTCAAGATATCACGAACAAGTTTTCCTTTATTTATTTTTACTTAAAATCCTTAAATATGTATCTTGATTTTTTTCTGTAGAATGCGTAATAATTTTTTTTTTAACGATTTAAAAAAAGGAAAGACAGTCGGATCTACGTAACCAGAACGACCTGAATGCGCATTGAAGTCGGTTGTATTTTTTGCTTAAAATTATCTGTTATTATTGAGATACAGTTTCGCTACTATTTAGAGATTTCTCGACATACTTTTTCATATTACTGTTATTTATTATTTTTCTTATTAGTCATTTATATGTTTAGGACTTACTGTGGGTGCTTTAAGATTCATTTTGTAAATATGTATATACATACAAAAAACAATTGCGATATTTTATTTTAAATTATGAGTTTTATTCGTGTAATTTTTTATGTTTAATAGTTTTGAGACCATTTTTTGGTTCTGTTGATTCTTTTATTGCATGCCTTAAACTTTTTTACTTTAAGTTATAATGTTGAAGATATGCCTTCTGCCTTTGTCAAGCACTTTAGCTAGGTGCGAGAAATTTAGCATATGTGCGTAAGAGCATAGAGTAGGAATACGGCTGTGCTGCCGCGATTCTCCAACATCTTGTCAAAGGAGAAAACATATTGGTGGCGGAATCCATCGTAGTCCAATTTTTCTTAAAATCTACGAAAAAGCGATCACTGAATCTGAACTGCTATGTGTATTCAAAGCAAGCGCTGCGTTCGTAGCTACTCGAACTTAATAGCATTTTCGTAGATTTCACGAAAAATCGGACTACGATGGATTCTATGATAGCCTTGATTAGTTCGTGCGGGTATGACTTATGGATCGATTATGGATGGGAACGGAACCTCAGTTGGGTTGCCGATGGACAGCGCCACTGAAATGAAAATGTTTTTTATTATGAATAGCAATAATTAAGTTTCATAAAGTTCAAGGTGGTACAATGTAAAAAAAAGTTGAAAAAAGAAATAAAGTATCTCAATCAAAAATTCCCGGCAGCCACAAAAACGCACTTGCCAATATAGCAACTTAGTTGCCAGCTTTCAGTTGCTAGTTGCCATCGGTAATACCATTTCAGCCTCTGGCCAACCAACTGAAGTTCGGTTGTCCTCCGTAGTCGACCCATAAAATCGGAATCGAATATGCATGCACGTTCTGCTGAACGATAAATATTTTCTAAATGTGTGCTCTGTCCGCTAACGAATTCCAGCCATGTGTGAAATATCGAATATGCATGCACGTTCTGCTGAACGATAAATATTTTGTAAATGTGTGCTCTGTCCGCTAACGAATTCCAGCCATATGTGAAATATCGTATGTGAAGCCTCCGTCTGACTTAACGATTGTCAAAGGCATGCCAGAAGATGTTTCATCATATGTTTTCGGCCATCGTCTTCTTCGAGTATGTTCATCGATACCAAAAACTTTACAACCTATATGTGGCAGCAGCCCTTAGTGTTTTTGCCAATGACATGGTACGACTGCACTGTTAATAACCAAATTAAGCCGCAGTTGCATTCACACGTGATATAATAGCTAGTGTCGGCAAGCTGTGGGAATGCCCAGGAGATGGCGTTTGTTCAGCTATCGAAATCATTACACCGACGGCGGTGGGCAGTTCTGCTGGAACATATTTACCACAGCAGTGGTTGCGGCGTTTTGTTCTACAACAATAGCCTGCAATGATGACATGTCATATAATGTCGACGAACAACGATATAAAATTTAAAATGACTAACCTTATTCCCGACCGATTTCTGAGACCACCCTTGATCACGACCTGAACGCATTTACCAAGAGGAAAACCCGCAGGGATTGCAGTAGTTTTTGCAATCACCGTTGATGATGCTGTGCTTGTAATTAATAGTCTGAAAATACAAAAAATTGCATTAATGAAATCTTATACACATCAAATAAATAAATTTCAATAATTTGTTTACCATTTCACAAACCGAATTACCAAGAAATAGAAACTCACCGCGATGCGATACAGAAATAAAAACCAACAGGGCTGCATTTTCTTGGTAAACAACACAAGCGCTCAGAGAAAACTGATCCGCCAAATTATTTTGTGAAAAATAATAGTTGAAAAGATTTTTACACATGATTATCACATTAACTCATAAGTGCAAATTATTGTGATTATTTTTAGTTGCATATAATTGTATTACCTTAGATTTTTTTAAATGTTTTCTAATATTCATTCTTTTGGGACGCAAAAGAAACCATGCGCTCAATTTCTTGTGGGGAAATTTGGTCCCCATAAAGGACTTTCACCACGAAACAGCTACAAAAACAAAAACCTTTTCTACTGGTATACTGTGCTGATTAGTGGGCCCTAAGCACACACCTGTGTCGCCCCTCGTAGTTGCACACTAACGATGTAGGTGCGGAACGGTTGGCGGCACGGGTGAGTGCAATCTTCCACGACGGCCTTGGGACCTATACGAGGGGAGTACATCGTTGCAAATAGCAACGACAACGTCTACAAAGTGTGATGATGCATCTACACTCTGTGACGACCCCTCCTACAGTCCCCTCGGCCATGTGGCGTTCTGCGTAAGCGATAGGATTGCGTTCATCTGCCAAAAGGCGACGTACGCGCTCCCTTACCTACGGAGACTGACAGGCTAACCTAATATTCACGCACGCCGCCAATTTATTGTCAAAAATTTCTCATGCACATGCAACTTGTATGAGATCAACCGAAATTGAACGGCGTGCTATTGAAGCTAACTCAATTTCCAATTTTTGTTCTGCGTGACATTTTGATTTGACGTTTCGCTCAATGAAATCAAATGCAAACGCATGCAAGTCAATTTCAGGTGACGCAAAAAAACAAATTCGACGGCATGCGTACCAAAACGCAAGCCGCGAATATTAGGTTAGCCTGTGATAGCGGATGAGCATTTGTAAAGAACCTTATACCCGTCGTCGCACAAGTCGGCTGCGAAGTAAGACGAGCTGAAAAAGTTTTAAAAGTTTTTGCGCAAGTGCCCAACGAACTTCCCACGTGTGTTTGGGCGCATGCCTGCTTGTGCTTTGCTTTTGCGTATTCTATTTTTAGCGCATGCTGGTATGTGTGTGTATGTGCGCTGTGAATATTCTACCCATATATATGTACATCGTATGTACATGCCTGGTGTATGTGGGTAAGCATATCGTATGTTCATATATACCCTGCAAAAAATTGTGCGACTAATCTCTAAAGAGAGTATTCCGAGATTACTCTCAATCGGGTACAATTGGGCATTAATTAGTCCCAACTGGTCTCATAAGGGTACTAATGAGGTCAATTAGTCTCGACTCATCTTTTATGGTTATAATTGGAGATCAATAAGTCCCCAACTCATCTCTAACGGGTACTATTAACGATTTAATGATATGTACGCACGTAGTCAATGCAATTTCATGTGCGGCGTTGGCACGCAGAGATAGTATTCGCCTAACAAAACTGAGCACCCCGGTTCGAATCTCAGCTGGCGAAAATTTTTATTTTTTAAAAAGTGAATAGTCGCTTTTTATACCCGTTCGGGTATAAAGGTGAACAATTAGTCTCTTCATAGGACATGCTCGAACAAAAGCGATCAGTTCATTCCATATAAAGAGATCAAAAGTGGTATTAGTCGCATGCTCCGTTGCGATTGCTCCCGGAGTCATCCAGGATTAGTCCCATTTTTTGCAGGATATTTACGACGTAGGATAGATTTGTGGTAGGTTGTGGCTGCAAATATTGTAGCGTAGTGTATGCTACGTTACAATTTGAATAAATTTGGTTTATCCCAATGCCATGCTCGTTGAGACATTTCATAATTTCTTCCTTTAAATTTGCAGCTGTATGTCGTTTAGTTGTTTCAATCATTCCTGAAAAAAAGTAAAGAAGTATGATTGTCGAATACTTATGCATTTAAATGAATCAATTATATAAATAGGCAATCATGTTTCCTTTACACCCCTTTCACGGCTAAACTGCACTTCTAAGGTATAAACAATTATATATCATCAGAAAGGTATTTTGATGCTGATGTGCAGGCAATTTTTAAAATTTCAAATTAGTTTAAAATAGAGCGAAAAAATCAATTCAAAAGTCACACCAATACCAATGCCATACATGTACATGGTTGGGGCGGAAATGCCTCCTAAATGTATGCTTTAATATTGATAGTGAATTAAAGAAACGTGCTAAGCAGCAGTTTAGGAATAAGATGTATGTATGTATGTACATGAATAGATTAGCCTCAAACAAGGATGAGATAATTTTGAGTATGGAGAAGAAGAAAGGGATAAACACAGAAATTAAAATAAAAGTAAAGAAACCTAAATATAAAGACAAAGAGGAAGGAAAATTTAAATACCTAACCTAATAACAATGGTGGGGGTGAATATGAAAATGAAGAAAAGAATGGACATATTTAGATCAGGATAAAGGAAAGGATAAAGATGAAGAAGAAGATGAAGACCAAGACGAGGAAGAAGATGAAGATGAATATGAAGATAAGGATAAAGATAACTTATCTTAACTTAACCCCTTAACTTAACTTAACTCACCTCAACTCATCTCACCTCCGCTTAAAAACTTACTCCACCTGAGTTCGCTACACATTAATTCACCACACCTTAACTCCCCACACCTAAATCCACCACTACTTCACTCCCCACACCTAAATTCACCACACCTAAATCCACCACACTTTAATTCACCACACCTTAACTCACCACACCCCAACTTTCTCACCACATCTAACTCACCACACCTTAATTCACCACACCTCAACTTTCTCACCACACCTTAACTCACCACACCTTAATTCACCACACCTCAACTCAATACAACTAAATTCACCACACCTCTTAAGACCACCACACCTGAAATCATAACACCGTAACTCCCACACCCAATTCCACCACACTGCAACTCATCACACCCAATTTCAACACATGACATGATATCACTAAAGAAACAATGTAAAGAAAAAGAGGAAGGAAAATTTAACTACCTAACCTAATAACAATGGTGGGGGTAAATACGTAAATGGAGAAAATAATGAAGATATAGATCAGGATAAAGGAAAAGATAAATATGAAGACGAAGGTGAATATGAAGATGAAGATGAAGATGAAGATGAAGATGAAGATGAAGATGAAGATGAAGATGAAGAT